GCTTCATGAGGGCAGGGGTCTATCTGTCTTTTCTCGGCCAGATCCCCAGCACCTAGACATGGTTGGCACTCAGTAAGTATTCATTGGCTGGTTATCCAGTGTCAGAACTGAGTGCTGTGTGGGACCCTGCCCTCAGGGAGATCATGCTTTATGGGAGGAGATGACAAGTAACCAAACAGAACTCTTCTTTGTTCCGAGAATGCTGCAAACACTCAAGTGGGGCCAAGGAAGGCTGACCAGTCCTCCCTGGGGGATCAGATGTAGCTTCATATGGAAGAATACCCCAGGACTGAGTTTTGAAAGAGATGGAGGTGCTTCCCAGATGAATCAAAGGTGCAAAGTGTTAAAAAAAAAAATAGAAGCAGAGCCTGTTCAGGAAACAGCAGGTAGTTGGATGAGACCAAAGGAGGGGCTGGTGCAGGATGGGGGCAGGGTGTGGAGACCATCAGGAAGGGCCCCTTCGCAGGAGAAGGAGCTTGGGCTTCCTTCCAGAGACAGCAATGAGCCACTGAGAGGGGTTTTTTCCTCTTGATATTTTAGCTCCTTTCCCATGTTGAAAAGTCTTAAATGGAGGAATGACTTGGTCAGAACTGCACTTCCAGAGATCCCTCTCCCAAAATTGGAGTTCCCTGTATCCCTTGCCCAAGTATGACCGTATTCAGGCACGGTTCCAAAAGTCTCTACTGCTTTCTTTCTAAAAATAGTTAGCCTGTCTTTGGGGGCACATAATTTCACAGCACAATGTTTCAGAAGGAACTTGTACATGTTTCAATTCTTTGGGACTCCTATTGTCATCTGATTGCATGTCTTTTTCGTCCATCATTTTGTTAAGTCAAATTACATCACACGGCAGATCTCATCTGGAAGCAGGAGATGACGGACATCTAATGGATGTAGAATTTATGTTTTATTTATCTCAGCATCTTCCATGTTTGGGTAGAAACCCAGTATCCTCAACAGTGAAGAGGAATAATAATAGTATCTACCTCAGAGGACTATTTTGAAGATTAAATTAGTTAATATCCTATGTAAAGACCTTGAAACATGATGAATGCCCTATGAGGTGTTTGGTGTTATTTTTGACCAACACAGTTTCAGTTTCTAGAACTGATCCAATAAACTAAGTTTCAGTGGAAGAGAGGCTTGTAAGTATGTATTTTGTGTGTGTGTCTCCATTTCTCTTCAGGTTATGAGCTGGCCTGGGGCGCATACATACACACACTCCCACTATCACGGAGCTCCAAGTGCCATACATATCCTCTCATTATCCTCACAAGAAACCTACAAGATCGGAATGGTTATCCCCATTTTACAGATGAAGAAAACTGAGGCTCAGAGGCTGACAGCTAAAAGTTGCACAGCTCACATCGCATCTGTTTGCACCTTTGTCTCTCTGTACACCTTAGTTCCTAGAGGGCAAAAAACTTCTCTTTACCATCTTTGCCTTCCCAGAGTCCAACAAGGGGAGGGAAAAAGACACCCAGTGAGGGTTTGCTGGGTCTGAATCCCCGCACACTTACTCCTGAAAACCCCTTCAATGGCCCACCCACGTATCCAACAAATATTTATTGAACGCCTTGTGGTGTTGGACCAAATCTCAGACCAAGGAAGAAGGGAAAGGACTTTCATTGAAGCTCTTGCTCCAGCTGACCCTCTACCTGGGAGGCCCTTCTCATTCTTCACTAGCAGACAATCTCCTCTTCATCTTTCAAGTCCAAAGTTAAATGTCCCCACCTCTGCAGAGCCCACCTGGCCTCCCCTCCTCCAGGCAGTGGGCTGCTCCCCTACCTGGTATGATGGTTAATTTCATGTCAGCATACCTGGGCTACGGGATGCCCAGGTAGCTGGTGAACATTATTGTACACGTGTCTGCATTAGATTCAGCAGACAGAGTAAAGAGAGCATCCTCACCAATGCAGACAGGCACCATGGTATCCATTGAGGCCCAAATAGAACCAAAAGGTGGAGGAAGGGCAAATTCCTTCTCTTCCTGAGCTGGAACATCCATCTTCTCCTGCCCTCAGGCATTGGAGCTCCTGGTTGTCAGGGCTTCAGGCTTGGGGACTTATACCAGCAGCCTCCTGGTTCTCAGGCCTTATGCCGCTGGCTTTCCTGTTCTCCAGTTTGCAGACAGTAGACTTCTTGGGTCTTCATAACCGTGTGAACCAATTCCTACAATAAATCTCCTCTTATGTATTTCTATATACATCCTATTGGTTCTGTTTCTCTGGAGAACTGTAACTGACACATCTAGACTCCTAAGGCATTTTTTACATACCGTTTGTGGTAAGTTGAATAATGCCCCACCCACCCAAAGATGTCCACATTCTAATCCCCAGAACCTATGAATACAATACCTTACATACCTTATATGTTACCCAGTGGTGGAAAGGACTCTGCAGATACGATTACAGGAAAGATGTCAAGATGGAGAGATTATCCTCAATTATTTGGGTGAGTCCAATGTAATTACAAAGGTTCTTATTTGAAGGAGGCAGGAGGTCAGTCAAGGGAAGGCAAAAGTAAAGATTGGAGTGATGCAGCCATGAGCCAAGGAATGCCAGCAGCTTCTAGAAGCTGGAAGAAGCAAGGAATGGATTCTCTCCTAGAGTCTCTAGAAGGAACCAGCCCTGAGGGTATCTTGACTTTAGCCCAGTGACACGGATGCAGGACTTCTGACCTCCAGAACTGTAAGGTAATACATCTATGTTAAGCCACTGAGTTTGTGGTAACTTGTTACAGCAGCCATAGAAATTAATAGACCTTTATTCCAGCATTAGTCACACTGTATAGCAGATGCCTTCCTCACCCAAGTGTCCCTCACGACTGGGGCACCTTTGTTTCTGACAGTTTAAAGCAAAGCCTTAAAAAGGGCTCACAAAAGCTGCTGAATGAACTAACAAATGGATTAATATTTTCCTGCTTTGTCCAGCTGCCTGTGTCCCTCAGCGTGAAAACACACACGCACGCACACGCACACTCAGCTCACCTGCCCGTCCACCCCCACCACCCCTGGGAGGGCAGCCCGGCACAAAGCTATTCTCAAGAGCATGTTGATTTTAAGGAGGGAGGAGGATTTCTCCTAAGGTAATAACTGGACAAATCGGCAAAGATGCAGCAATGAGAAGCGGAAATATTTACGTGGTTGACTTGAAACCGCAAGAATTGGTGTTGCACCACAGAAATGTAAAAATCCTCTTTTCTAATAAATAAGTAATGAGAGCAAGAGAAAACCGTGACCCTCACCACATCCCCATTCCTCTCCACCTCTGTCTCAGCCCCACCACAGACACTAAAATGATGGTGAAATCTGTACTGCATGACACCAAAAGAGGTCCACTTTATCTTAAGAGAGAAAAGTGGATTCCAGACACTGAATGATACGATCCCATTTTGCTAAAAAGAAATAATTTAAATATATACGCTTAAATCCTGTATGTTAATCCAAAGGCTATACGAGCATGTATACGTGTGTTTACATAGGCAGAGGGCAGAGGCTGGGAGAAGATCCGTGAAGAGGTTAATGGTTTGATGGAGATTATAGACAGTTGCTTTTTTTTTCTTCCTTTAAAAAAAATTTACAAAGAACAAGACTGTTGGTGAAACAAAAAATTAAGTTTAAGTAGTTCAAAATAAAAGAAATGGACCGTTTTGTGTGGCAGGGATACTTTGTGTCCATTCCGGGACAGCTCAGGTCTCCCAGGCCCTCCCCAAATAGGAAGCTGGGGTCTGGTCTCTCGGTGAGCAATGGCGGAACCATTAGAGGAACTGTAGGCGGCAGGAGGGTGACGCGGCGAGGGGGCCTGGGAATCAGAAGACATACAGACGTGACCGCCAACGCGGCTTCTGCCGAATGACCCAAGGATGACCCGCTTCGGGCCCAATCTGGCATGTGGGGAGCCCGTTGTTACCCCGCGGCCTTTCTCCCACCCAATCCCCCACCGCCACATCGTCCTCACTGCGATCTTCACCCGACCTCCTGGGTGAAGGCAGGTGCCGCCCAGGACCCTGGCTGAAAAACAGACGCGTATGATCACCCTGGCCTTCCTCGGCCCTATTCACCGCCCCCGCTCCTTTCCTGCGGTGGAGTTTTTGTTTTAATTCATCTGAACTGGTTACAAAACCACACTCCCACGAATACATAAATAATGGATAAAGGGGGGGGCAATGTTTTAAAGAAATTCCCGCAGGGCCTGGCAAGGCAACAGCAAATGCATTTCTGCTGTATCATATTTAACTGTTTGCAAACTTCTGCTGGGAGGATGAGCAGCGGCTGCAGAGACTCTTCTGCCCTTCCCCGCCCGGTGCCAGGAAAGACTTGCAAGGCAAGGTTAAAAGGAGTGAAAAGCTGTCAGCTTTCAGGGGTCGAGAAGTTGGGGAGGAGAACGAGAAAGTGTCCATAGGATTGCACTGCGCCCATCCCGGCTTTGCACAGGCCAAGCATCTCCGGGGTTCCTGGCCACGGCTCCGGGTGCCAGGCGAGGCCCCTTTAAGAGCCAGCGCGCGCCCCCGCCCCGCGAGCGCTCACTTTCCCTAGCAACCGCCCCGAGGGAGGAGGAGGTCCTGGCAACGGCGCGCTGGCCCGGAGGGTCACGTGACGGCCCGCAGCTGGAACGCGAGCGCGCG